GGCAGTGGAAACCTCCTTGCTGTCTTCTCCTCCTGATGCGTCCCCTTCCTTCTCGGAAGGCCCCTCCAAGTCGATAATTTCAGTGGGCGGCCCAGCGGACTGAGCTGTGCTCCCCGATGCCCCCGTTCTTGGGGGTACAAGCTCAGAGCAAAAAATGACATCGTCATTATCGGAGTCCTCATCCACGTAGCCATCTGTCTGCTTGAACTCTTCAGCAGATAGTGAGAATGCCTCGGTTATGATGGGCATGGCTGCTGTGCACGAATCCTGGATTATGAGGTCGCTCGGTGGGTTTCCAGTGCCGTTTTCCAGATCTTTGGGGTCCGAGGAAGACTCCTCCCCGCCTGCAGCAGCATCCTTTGACAAGCCAGGCAGGCCTTTAACCTGAGACAGAGGCAAGCCCAGGTTAGCGATGAAGTTCACCCCCAGCGTCTCCCCCGACTTAATCAGCTCCTCCAGCATGTCTGACCGGACGCGGATGAGTTTCGAGCTGTAAATGTAGTTGAGGATTTCCTCAAAAATCTCCGCCTTCACGAAGTTCAGCTCTATCACCTGTCCAGCGACTGAAAAGAGCTGACGGAAGTAAGAGCTCGATGCCGACAGGATATTTTTGTGGGCTCGGAATTTGCGGTCCTGCACAATGATGGTGACATCACAGAACAATCCAACTGTGCGCTGCTCATTAAGAGACTTCAGCAATGTCCCAGAATACTGTGTGTCTGTTGCAGAAATCAGCTTTAAGCTCGTCATCCCTGTAATACAGATCGAAACATTCAGTAAAAACAGATTTGTACAAGGGGGGGCTTCAGGCATACTGCATAGTGACACATATTTAACATTATTTAGCATATTGAATAATGTGCTGCTGCCAAACTGGAAAAATGGGATTTGCTTACAAGAGAGAACAGGAAATGCTTCTTTACAAAAAGAGTAGCGGTTGACTGAAACAGGCTTACCAGCCAGGGAGGTTAAAGTCCACAGTCTGGGCTCCTTTGAGAAGCAGCTGGTCGAAATGTTACATTCAGCTAATAAAATGCCTAACAAGCACAGTGGGCACAATGGCCCCTTGTTTTCACTTTCTCTTACATTTTAATGTTGTTAAAATGTGTCAAGAAGACCTAGAGACTTCCATACATTCCTGTAAAATGTCTGACATATTAGATCTGCACAAAACATTTTAGCAAAAGATTACTAAATCACAAAAAAAAGTAGAAAACAAAACAACCACAGAGTACTGCTAATTTTGCAACTCTTTATTACTTAGGCATTTATCAACCTCATCATGAGTGACCTGGGTTTTTGATTGGAGAGAAGAAATACCTACAAATGAACAATATCTACAGTATTTGCAAGCAATGTTTGATACCTGTTAAAATTAAAGAGTACTTGGACAACACTGGATTTCAGGTTTTGAAAATAACAATTTTTCCATTTATGAACAAGTGCAAGTTCATAAATACTGAAGGACACGACTGAAGGCTCAGCAACCAAAACACTCCGTTTTCTCTTTGTTTTCTGGAATTAACATTGACGTGTTCCTCTGCAGCCTGCACACTGACGCAAATCCCCAGTCAAACTTGTATATAACATATAGTATCATTTGCACCCACAATATACCACGGTACTGGCTAAATCAATTCACCTGAAAAGGCGACTATTTATCCCATCTTGGGCTTTTACTGGCGACTGAAAAGCTGCTTTACTCGTTAGGTACAAGTTGGGACTTGAACTGGCGTTCGGAGATAGATGTGCTCCTATATCATTCATTTTCATGTCTCTTTCTTTGCGACATATTAAACCAAATGAATATTAGCAAGTGAAAATCAATTTTAATTATAGTCAACAGAAAGCAGGTTCACGTTCATTTCCTTGATGTAGCTACCGCAGTGCATCCACTGATACGTTCAAGTTCAGGGTTATAGCTGAGAAGTCTTTCCAGTGATAATGCAGTAATGACCAAAAAAACGTTTTTTTTTTCTCTTTTTGGAATGAACTACAGTCTCTTGTGTAGATGTGTGTTATGAGAGCACTGAGGTCGGGAAATGAATGCAGCCGTACATCGACTACTAAAAGAAGCTTTCAAAACCTTTGTTGACAATTGAGACCTTGGTGAGTCCGACGTTACAGTCCGGGTTTTACACAAAATATTTAGGCTTCATATGCGGATTTTTTTCCGTAATAAAAAGGTTCGGGTGCAGCGTACAGTTAAATAAAATGTGCAAGTGTGTGTATAAACTATAAAAGAAATCGCTCAGAACAGAGAGGCCTACACGCAGTTCCACAGCCTCGCAAAACAAAAAGCGAGTTTAATTCTGCAACAGTTCGTAAGATCATAGATGCATTTAAGCATTTTTTTCTTTTAAGGTTTTCTTCTGTACACGTCTGACAAAATTATAGAATATGATTTCAAAAGGATTTTAGGTAAAAGGGCTAAATATTGAACAAAAGGGAAACTATTCGCCACTGATCTGTCTTCCTGGTTCATACCGGGTTGCGGCCTTATTGATGCAGTACTGCCATTCTGTCTTTCCTGGCGCTTTCAGTTAAATCGATATCTGGAGCTAATGGTTTCAAGGACGTAATATCAGACATGCATTTGTGATTTACCTGCAAAAACCAAGCGTTCCCTCCCTTCTCTCTGCCAATACCCACGATACCTGCAGACAGTACAGCCCTCCCTTCCTTTTTGCTGTCGAAATAAAAGTCTTGTTGGTTAATCTTACGGCCAACAGGAGTCGCAAAAGCCAGGTTTCTGAAACGTAAACCGCTTGAAGTTGTGGTGACGATCTGAATCCAGTCTGCTGTCACATTGTTCCCCTTTTTGCTTGGGACTGTTTCATTGTGTATAACGGCGAAGTAGCGGGGGAAATCAAACATAGTTCCTGTGCAAAAATATAACGGTTACAAGATTAAGGTGTCAAGGAACTGGTGAAAAAAATATCCGCTGCTCACGATGTGTGCTTCCTCACAAAGACCTTTGCGTTTCATGCTACTATTTTAATTATTAATTTACTGGCTTTTGTGGGGCCTGTCTATGTATTGTATAGATGCAATGTTATTAAGCAATTAGGGAGGGGGACGGATCTTTTCCGAGTATTAGAATCCCTTCTCCATGAAAACTACTTTCCAACAGTAGGATGTAAATTCAGAATATAATATTGGTAACCGATAACTAAACGGTGCATGTAACTGTACTAATTTGGTCAAATATACGTTATTAAATTTGAGCACGAATCCGTTCCTCCAGCGTAGGAACTAATAATGCTGTTTCTGATATCGCGGGACGTTTTCAGCGGCGCACCGATTTCCTTTTGCTGTCTGTAAACAACACTACATTTCCGGCTTCCGAGTATGGATGGTTAGGTGAGTGTTGTGTTGCGCATTATTTTTAAATACTTTTTAATGCTGGGAAACTAAATCTGGCAGGTGGAAGCAACACATCGTTGCTTCTACAGTCTTAGATTTATGGTTTATTTGGATTAAATGAAGGTTAATAATTCATAAACACTTAAATTTCGGGGGAGGTAATGAAAACTTCTTGGCCTTGTGGTTTAATGGGGGGGTAATATTAAATCTTTCAAACAGGTTTGTTTTTGGTGAGATCCAGTAACTGAAAACTTATTTAATTGGATCTAATGTTGCTATAGAATTCCAGTCGTAACTGCAAACAATTAGCAATCATTTTAATTTCAAAGTTTAGTGTAAAACGTTCATTGAACGTGTTTAATAACTGAGCGGTGTTGCTGTGTATCGTGGTAACTCTTTTAACATCATCGATAGTTGGGAAAATCAATACAATTACTTTTTCACCTGCGTATGTCCATTCAACCGGGAACCATTGTTGTTGCCGATACTTAGTTTTAAGACAGCTGAGAAAATAGCTACGAACGGTACTGAATTAATGTGTCTTTTAAACCTCTTAAACAAACCTTTTAAGATGAACACTGGTTTGTTTTAGCGGTTCTTTCAGGGATCTCGGCGGTGATTTGGAGCTATGCCGCCCATCCAGCGGTCAAGGAGCCGCAGCTCGGAGGCCGAGAGCAGCCCGAGGAAGAGGCGGCACAGCCGGACCAGCAGCGGCAGGAGTCGGTCGCGGAGCCCCGCGGTCAAGCAGAGCAAGCACAACGGGGGCTCCTTCAAAGAGGAGAGGAGGACGCGCTGGGTCAGGTCCGTTTCCCGGGAGAGAGATGGGCCGCGACCTCACAACGGCAGCCGGCACAGCCGCTCCAGGTCCAGGGAGAGAGAGGCGAGACACAGCCACGGCGGTTACGACAAGTCCCGGTTTGACCATTACGACAAAAGGGAAGACATTCTGCGGCAGAGACAAGAGGCCTTCATATCGAGGTGTGTGCGTGCTTTTCCCTTTTCTGTAACCCTCAAATTAAGAAAACCTTCTGACCTCTGTCAGAAACCCACTTTTCTCGAAGAACATTCCTCAAGATGTCTACGACGTACGAACTTAACTCTCCACCTTAAATGGACTAGAATAGAAGTATTTTGTAGTTCGAGGTTTCCAGACCTGGTCTTCAACGGTTCCAGTTCAGTTACTTAAATGTCACCTATTTCTTAGCACTGGCAGTGACAGTGTGATGTAGATTTAATTAAAGAAGTAACCTTTTCAATTAACAGAACTGTGGTCCATGGAGACTGAAGGGGTCTCGGATTCTGGTCCCACATGACCCCTAAACTACTTAATTTAAAAAATCAGCTGCTTAGTTTGCCACAGGGAGATTGTTCCAAGTCCTGGTGATGTAATGGTCACCTATGAAACCTGCTGTAAAGGGGCTCTCCAGGAATAGCTCTGTTGTAATTCAATAAGATTGTATGTTGAAGGGTATGTGATATTTCAGCTAAATGTTTGCCGGATATTTGACACTCTTGTCTCAACAAATAACTGTCATTGCTAGAGATTTCATTTAGGACCAGCACTTCTAGCTGTAAGCAATCGAAGCTGTCGACATGCGATCATGCTGAGGTCTGTTCCGTCTTTGAAATCTGTTTTGTTTATCCGGGAATACAGAAAATGTGACTGCTGTTTCGTTGCATCATAGGCGACTTCAGGAACGGGAGAGGATAGGGGAACTAGGAGCGCCTGAAGTCTGGGGATTTTCCCCAAGAGTCCGGGAGCCAGAGTAAGTTAAGGAGATGGATGAGAACGGCATGCTGTTCCTCAGATCGGAGATGGAAACTCAGATGGATTTAAAAATTGCAGTCTCGTTTTAAAAGCTGTAACAAATGCCTAAACATATCAACCTCTCTGTTTTTAGTTCAGATGAACATACTCCGGTTGAAGAGGATAACAAGAAGAACAGCAGTTCTGATTCAAGTTCTGAGGGTATGTGGTGAAATTCTCTTTTTGGTAAATATCACATCAGTTCCGTCTTGACTTAAGACAGCTTTTGAACCCTCCTCTGAAAAATATGGACTTGAAGTATCATATAGGTTGAGTAATAATAGTGTTAAGTTGAAGACTAGTAATTCATGTTTAGCATTTTACAGTTTTGTGGAATTTTAGCTGTAGCTTTTGTTTTTTATCCTTAGTTATGAGGGGGAAAGTTACCCTGTGGCGGTTTTACGCAGGTGGTGCCATCGCACAAATCACACAGATTAATATTTTTATCACCTGCAGAGGAAAGGAAAAAGAAGAAGAAGAAGAAAAAGAAAAAGAAGTCCAAGAAGAGGAAGCACAGAAAACATTCAGAAGACAGTGAGTCTGAAAGTGATTCTGAAGGTAAGTAATGGGAAGGACATGAAAGGAGTTTCCGAATAGATACGTGAGAATTTCTTCATTGGTCAGGTGATTGCAAGTGTTTGTACAAATTAAAGCTTTATTAATTGCATTTAGAAACTAGGGCCAGTAAACTCCAACATGTACTGAATGTGTCATGTCAGGCTTAGTAGTTTTCATATGTAAACATGGAGGTCTTATTTATCCACTCAAAAATGTGTTATTGATAGCAAACAGATGCCATATTTGGATCCGCATCAGGACACTGTCTTTTTTTTTTTTTGCCTCAGTATATGTCAGTGTGTGTGGGTATACCACATTGTAATGCATCTCCTTAATGTGATCTTGGGTAGGGGAATATCTTTCTTTTGTGGAAAGTTAAACAACGGAAGTACACAGAAAGATCGATTCTGAGCAAAACATAACATTGTGCTTACAGAATTGTTTTCTGTGTCTCCAGATGAAGAAGACCGGAAGAAGAGAAAGAAGAAGAAAGGCAAAAGCAAAAACAAAAAGTAACTAACATTCTTCCGCGCTGACTGTAGGATAAACTTCGTAGGGAGACTTGACTTGTGTTCTGTTCCTGAGTCCCGATAGCTACAGTGAAGCATTTGCTGTTTTATACTAACAGGAAGAAGCCTAAAAAGAAGAAGAAGGCTAAGAAAAACAGGAAAGAGTCGAGTGACTCTAGCAGTGAGCAGTCTGATGAAGAGGAAGATGAACAGAATGGAGAACTCTGGGTGGAGAGAACAGGTAAATCCACACCTTGGTGATTCCTGAAGCTCTTACTGAACTAAGAAACTGAGTTATTCCCCTGTCACGCAGGTGGTGATAAAACAGAAGGCATTTTAAAAGACGTTTAACGACTGTACCTGTTGGGTTTTTCACGTTTTCTCTCTTTCCCCCCCTAGGTGTTCAGGATGACCTTGTTGGTCCCGAGGCTCCGATGACTCATTTGTCCCAGGATGACAAACCCCTGAAGTAGGTGTCTTTCAGTGCCGACTCCATGCGCGGCCTGTTTTATCCCACACTAGAAGGAGCCTAACCGTTTTATCAGTCAGGCCCGCGCTAGACTCCTGAGAGCTCTGCAGAGTTCGTGAAGGTCACGGCGCCTGTCTGTGTGTGTTGCTAGCTATGGACATGCCCTGCTGCCAGGAGAAGGGGCTGCGATGGCGGAGTACGTTAAGGCAGGGAAGCGCATCCCTCGCAGAGGTGAAATTGGGCTGACCAGCGACGAGATTGCATCCTTTGAGAAATCTGGTTACGTCATGAGTGGGAGCAGGTAAGGACAACTTAAACACAGCAGGATATTATTGTAGGAGTCCACAGTAGGGAATTGGTCTTTGGTTAGATTAACACCCCCCCCCACCCTCCCAAAGTCATTTATTACAAGATGATCACTGGAAAAAAAAATTGGATTTAAATTTAAATGTAAGAACTGTAGCTCTGAGGGCTCCCGCTGGATAGCCTTGCATGATCCAGCCGAAAGGGATCTCTGAGGTGTAACAACAGAATCTGTGGTCTGCGCCCAGGCATCGCCGCATGGAGGCTGTGCGTCTGCGTAAGGAGAACCAGATCTACAGTGCTGACGAGAAGAGAGCCCTGGCGTCCTTCAACCAGGAAGAACGGAGGAAGAGGGAGAACAAGATTCTCTCCAGTTTCCGGGAAATGGTCTACAGGAAAACCAAAGGCAAGGATGAAAAGTAAAATCCCACACGGTCCTTCCCGTGTGATTCACACTTGTGGAAAAGAATGTGGACTGGGCTGTTTGTTTGTTTGTTTGTTTTTTACGGGAGACTTAACACGTCTATTTTTTTCTTTTTGGATGATGAAACGTTTACTTTTTTTCTCCCCGATTTTAAGAATGAGTTAATATTTCAAGTCTGTTAAGTCTGTATGCCTTCCTTATTGTCGTTCATAAATCCCCCAAAAACTTGCGTTCATATTTAGTTCTGTGTGTGAAATATATCAGTCATGTGAAAATGTGAAACAATCCAAAATCTCGAAAATTAGCTGTGTTACGACTGGGATCACGTTACTTTCAAGCACCAGACTTGCACTTTTTTATATTAGCCAGATGGCAGAGAAATCGGATATGGTCCAGACTACATCACTTCCAGCTGGTGTAAGGATTTTTAATCTTTATCAAAATGGACATCAGAATACTTGTATTGTGAAAACATTGTTGTAATTTTTGGTGTTTCTGTTTCTATTTTGTTAATCATCTGAACAGGTGTACTAGGCAGAAAATAAATCTAGATGATTATCGCTTTCCCTACAGTGTTATAGATATGAATTGTTTTAGAAAATACAACTGGATATCCGAATGTCAATGTCACATCTTTATTTAAGAATGGATGCATTACCCTGTGCTGAATAGGAAAATGCTTATTTTTGTATTCATAAAATACTATTAGAAGTCGATAGATTCCTGTAGAAGGGTCTTGCTTTCAATTACATCCTTCAGCCATTTTTCCCTAAACCTTGTTTTTCCAGGCCTACAGAGAAAAATAAAAATGGTTCAAATGATTAATTAAGCACCTATTCATTTTAAGCAGTCTGTGCTTAGAGGACAGTGGATTAATAATGTGCTTCAAAGTACCTTTCATGCTTGAGGAAAGTAGAGATTTAGAAAGGGGGAAAAATGCCCAGTACACTTCTGAATAGTGATATGATATACTTAGAAGAGTACTGCATATGAAGGGATCAAAATGTACTTGCTTGTCTGAGATCATTTTTTACCTTCATTAAATTGTTGGTATTAACTTTCAAGTTCACTGTGTACCTAACTCTGTTAAGTAAATTAAAGTTCATAATTGTTTTATCTTTACATCTTAATGTAACAATGGCTTAGACTAAAGCAGACCCAAATGCTGCTGTGTGTGAATTCTAGAAGTTTCACAGCACAGCTTGGAACAACAGTCCCACATGCTCGCTCAGTGATCTTCCTCAGTTCAGAAACTGGATGGATGGATGATAGATGGAAGTGTCACCCCGTTGTTGGACATCATGTGGATTCTATTACAATTCTAGGTAAAAAAACTAGAATAAGCTCCTAAAAAAATGACAATATTTACCTGTGTTGCAACTGGTTTGATTCCACAAGAAAATACACTTCTACAGGCAAGGTCTAACAGAGAGTGATAGAAAACAGCAAAACAAGATGCATTAAGTATGATAAATACAGTAATCTTTCACTAAATTAATAGGAGGACTGTAGGTTTTTTTTTTGCAAAGAAGTGGTATGTCTAAAATCGCTGCAGTTAAAATGCATGCAAACCAAATCTGGGGAAGGGTTTTCTACCTCTACCATTAACGGGCTGTACTATCGGCATGTTCTTCTGCTCTTAATTGAGAGCGTTTCCACATTACGGGCCCCAGGTTTTGAGATTAACATGAACAGAAGCACCAGCTTTGATTGTGACAGAAGATGGTGAGGGAGAGAATGTGTGTGCAAGGGGTGCTTGTGCATTGTGAGACTCCGGACTAGCTTAGCGAGCCCCTCCGCCCAAAACCGTTTAATACCTTAAAAAAAAAAAAGGAGAGTTTGCACTTGACCATATTGCAGGTATGGACTTGCCCAGGGAGGCATGGTGATGCAGTGGTTAGTCAGCATCGCTGCCTCACAGGGCTGGGGGCCTGGGTTCAATTGCAGACCTAGCTGCTATCTGCGTCTGTAAGTTTTCCCATTATTTGCATGGGTTTCTTCAAGATGCTCCGGTTTACTCCCACGGTCCATAAACCTCCTGGTAAGTGAATTGTTTTTTGGGGAAATTGGCCTGGGTGTGGGCGCGTGCATGTCTGTGCCTGCCCTGCAGTGGACTGGCGTCCCATCCGGGGTGTATCCTGCCGGGGTGTACAGTTGGAAGTCTGACCCTGTCGAAATGAAGGAGCTTGGTGTTTTGAACGAAAATTAGGCAAGCTTGGGACACCGTTTGCAACATCAACATCCTTTGTTGTGAAAGGGCCCAGGCGACTTTCCTTTCCTCTCCTTGACCTCAACCTTGAGAGAAGACAGAAGCTCCTGCTAGAAGCAGCTGTTCTAGAGGGACGGTGAGGACTGTCTTCCCACACCGCAGGTGTTTACGGAATCATTCGGCCTTCCCCCGCCCTTTCCACCAGACACGTGAACAGGCTGTACCTGTGGTTTGATCTTGGAAGTCGAGATGATGAAGTAGACGCAAGCTGTAGCCTGCGGGATAGGTCTCCTCCTTGTGGGGATGCTCCACTGCACCCTGTAGTGATACTGTCTGTGGAATTCCAGGTCCTTTTCCTGGAGAAATTCCAAGCTGTAAAGCCAGCGGGGATGCATTTCCCACGTCTGGAAAAAGCAATGTTTTAAACCCCGTTAGTAAACTGAACCTGAACAGGAAAAACACTGGAGAGAAAGGTACCCAGGTTTTCACTTTGATTCGTACGTGTGCGCTGCTTAATGGAGCGAGTTTTTTCAAAACTTCTTCGTGGTTCATCCCGTATTGTTACACAGAATAACAGAAACAAAGCTACAGGAGACAGGAGGGCAGAGCGTTTCACACAGAAAGTCTTACTGCTCCTGAAGGCTATCCGGAAATCCTTCAGGCCAGCCTTTTGGTGCCAAATTAAGTCTAAATTCTTGAAAATCTCACACAATCGCAATGTAATGTAAAAAACATGACTTGAGAAATGGTGACCTATATAACCTAGTGGAGGGGAAACTCTTCAGGACTCTAGTTAGACCCCGGTCTTGACAAGATGTGGATTTGTCTCGCTTAGGACTACTTACAGACATATATTCTTCAATTTGTTTCTTTCCGAGCTCTATCGTGAAATCCTTGCAGGCAGTCCAGTTAATATTCTTTATTTCATAATCCGTGCAGTCTGAAAGGAACGAGTAATACTTTATTTTCTTGTGTGTGGTGTGGCAATGCGGATGCGCACCGCTGAAGTTACTTCATGTGTGTTTTGCGTCCTACCGTTTTCAGTTATTTGCTTGTGAAGGAGGTAGTTCTGCGCATTTTGCAGCGCAAGTTCGATGATCGTAGACGCTTCCTTGTTTAGTACATCTGCATTGTCATCCATGTTTGTCCTAGGACAGCATAAAATATACAAAGTCATTCTTAACAAAAATGTTTTTATAATTCCTTTTTAAAAAGGGGAGAAGGGGCGAAGCATGTACGCAGTCACTCGTGTGTTAGTCTTACCCATGCTAGATACAGTACACTTGGCATTAGATTGTAAAGCACGGCTGAAACGGAGTCAAGGAGGCCAGCCGGGCCCGGAGAGCTGCACAAACAGTATTAAAATAGCAGAAGACATATTAAAATGAGTTTTACATTAGGATTGATAAAGAGCTACCCAGTTTACCTTAAAATGTCCTTCACATCCCACAGTCACGACGGGAAAAGTCACCGGTTCGTGTTTACTGCGGTTTCCACGGCTACGGTTTCTCAGAAGGGTGGAAACGGAGCGTTACTGTGGGTTTTTTTCTTAGAAACACAGTGCCGTATGTTTTCCCCATCCGTTTTTGAAAATCGCCTTTCAGGATACTTTTGGTCACATCTCTTACATCACCTCGAACTTTGTAACAATTTCTTACAACAGATCGGCAACAATTTCGTTGGAGTAGGGAGCTGCGTCAGCTTGCGTAGGCTGCACGGAGGAGCAGGTAAAAGTTTATTCCCTGTTGGTCCAATAACCCTTGGAATAAACCTTTACCTGTTCCTGTGTTGCTGAAGAGCGATTGTGTTTTGTATACGAAGGGCTCTGTTTTTGTATCAGCTATGATTGTTTTAGGGATACCGTACATCGGCAGTGTCCCAGACATGCCCTGCTTTTTGCTCCTTCATTTTGCTCCTTCATTCTGCGTCTGGAAGGAATTTCCAAATATTTTTTTAAATTTCCGGAATTGTTCCCTTATTCTTGTCCCTCAGATGTTTTCGATTCGAAATGGCTTACAAATTGTTACCAACATCTACTACTAGTACAAATACAACTGGCCAAACCCCTTACTGACGAAGGAGAGTCCTCTTGTCTGATTTTGGAAAATCCTTGCTAATCCTAGATCGTTATTAATTTTACGGTAGACCTGAGCTACCCCAAATATACTAACATGTGCCCTGGAATAGTTTTTGAAATGTTTTCGTTGCATTGTAAATGGATCATCTTTCAGCGATAAGTTATGTGCAAAGAGTATGTGAATTAACGGCAAGGGTTCATTAATATTCATTCACATGACCTGATATGTTCCAAGCTGAACCGTTTCTGCTGGGAGATCATGGGAGACGAAGAGTCCTTAAGCGCTGTTTTTTGTTTTGTTATTCTGGTACTTCATTGTCTCCGATGAAGGTTACCATGGGGAAAGGGACGGCAAAAGTGTCCTTTGTTCTCGGGTAATTAAATGCTCTTTTTATTTTCCATTACGAAACATTAATTTGAAAACAAAGATACTGTATTTACTGATCCTTTTTAAAAGCCCACCCCCCCCCCTCCAAACCAGTCCAAAGGTATTTCAGTTATTATTGGTAAGTGATATTAGATCTGCTCTTTTTAGAGAATTATCCGAAATGAAAGCCCTCTCTATACTCAAGTCATCCACTCTTCGTCATTCCTTCTTCGTATCAATGTACAGTATATTGTCTGAGTGCATTGAGATAGCTGTTATTTATGAGTTGTGTCCAAGTTGGTTTAAGTTTTTGAACGGACTTGGTCTCCAAGTTAACCAATTCGTCTTTAAAATCCACTGTAACAGCTGAAGCCTTTTCTGAACTGCTGGATACATTAAAGATGCGAATGAACAAGGAAGAGATGATAAAGGTTAGTTTAATTATTTGTCGAAAAGTAGATACTCCATTTTGGCTGTTGAGCGTTCTTCATTTACCAGCTGCAGAGAGGTGCAGAACATAACAGCTCATTCAAATCAAATACAATTAATTCATACTGTATATACATGTAAGTCAGATACCACTTGATCCCCAAAATTGCGTAATGCTTCTAATAATAAATGTCCTTTGATTTCTCATATATTTTATAAATGATTGTCATCGTGCTTTCTCAATGCAGGAAATGGAAATTACGTTGTGTTCTCTTTCTTCTTTTTTTCAGCATGGAATAAATCTGTTACTTGTTCCTTTGCAGCCTACGCATGCTGACACAGCTCCCACCTGAACTAAATTATTGGATATTTACAAGACAAAACACCAATGTATTCAGTAAGACTTTAACTGAAATTAAATAACCGAAAGTGTTAGTAAATCAGCTGTACTGTTTTAGTCCTATTTCACATGTGCTGCATGTAGAAATGTATTAATATGGAATTGCTAATATATAAATGTTGTACTGATACATGTCGATGTAACCCACCACTCCACACTAACATTCTTTATCATGAAACAAAATGATATATTGTTGTTTTGAAACAAGTCTTAGCATGAGGACTTGTTTCTTCCTCGTGGAGGAACACCCTGTCTCACACTGCTGTAGAATTCGCTGGGCTGATAGCTCTCGAGATGTGGAAAGGCAGGTCCTCCAGTGTGTGTTTGCATCTGAGAGGTCTCCCAGCGAGACAGGTCCTGCTGCAGAGCCGACAGAATGGTATCAGTTCAGGCTGGGCTTACTTTTCTTCATCAGGTGCCTCCGTGCCACTGAGCCTTCTGTCTGTAAGCTGGCACTGCCCCGGCTCAGGGGTCAGGGGCTGGACCAGTGGGTGTCCATGATGGTCACTGCAAGGAACTGAGAAGAGAAGAATGAGAGAGTGTCATTTACCGCTACAGTCACAAACACCTGATGGCTGCAGTTTGTTACCATTGAAGGATTTTTAAAGAGGAGGCCTGAGCTTTTCACTTTTGGGCCAACTTGGTCATATGCAACGATACTGAAGCTTTATTCCCACTTCTTTCTGTCTAGAATTGAGCTATGGATTTAAATATGGACCTGACTTGCCATAAGGTTAATTAGAGACAAGTTCTGTTTAATGTGCAGTACGCAAAGGAGCAGAAGTGCTGACAAGTGCAAACACAATAAGAAACACAGCCCATCTGGTGATTTTTGCATGAGAGCCTATAGACAATCTGTTACTAAACTGTAAATGGCATATTTATAACTCCAGTAATATTAGCTGGTCTTTAGAAAAAGCACACAGATTCAAAATGTTAGTTTAATACTAATTTGTTGGATTTTTTTTTTTTGTCAGCCATGGCGAAGCAAAACAAATCTTTATGCATGCATGAACTGAGAGAGAACACCCCAAGGGAAAATCTGGTGATGTTCTTGAAAAAACCTGCAAACATAAAGAAACAGCTGTAATGCAGAGCCTTTCACTGACAGCCCTTTACAGCAATACCGTGGACATGGCTGGTGAAACCTGGGTCTGTCTGCAAATGCAGGCCTTTTGAGCTGCCGGTGCGGTTAATCACTATAAGTCTGTTAAGAACCGGCTATTGCTGAGCAAGAGAGAAGACAGATCTCGGACTCAGGCTATTCCCAGCTCCTTCCCTTACCCCCGAGGAAGGATTTCCGGGACTCCGGCTGTGGCTGGGCGGCAGGGCTGCACAGTGGCCTCTCCGGGGTGGAAGAGGAGCTTTTCAGGCTGGAGATGAAGGTGGAGCAGGTGTCCAGGTCCCGGGCATCTCTGTGCGGCTGGGGGTCGTGATAGTGGCAGGGGGATCTGGAGGGCGCACACCCCATGGTGGCTGCTGCTCAGGCGCTGCATGTGATGGAAAAAGAGCTCGGGCTACAGGTAGGTGGGAGCTGATGGGCTCGATCCTCTCCCTGCTCTGTGGGAAGGGCTGGAGAGCTCTGTGAGTGGGAAGCAGGGGCTGAGAGGGGGTGGGTGGCAGTGCTGAGAATCGGATGCTGGCAGATGCTGTTTGAAACACTCCATCCGTGGTTCCTCGAGGTTTCAGTCGTTTTCTTCTTCCAAGCCATTATGGTGAACAACATTTTTTTTTTCGGTCTACAGTGTACCCAAAGGTGTTGTGGGGTCGTATTTAAAAAAATCAGGTGACCACACTGCAGTAACATGTGGCTTAAAATATAGTTAATGCACGAGAGAACACAAATGCGATTTGGCGGGCTAAAATATAAGGAAAACAAAATATTCAGTCTCAGTCAATCACACAATGTACCAATGTTGCTGGCTTATTTTCATATTTCTTAACCATTTGTGCAAACTCACAGCACTGAAGCACTTCCCCTGTTGCATAACAGGATACAGTACAGGTTTTCTGTGTGTTTAATAGGCATTTTTGTGAATTTGTGTAAGTTTTAATGCGAGGCGATTAAAGGTTACAAAACATTTTGGAGATTTACCAGCTCACTCCTTCTCTCATGTGATGTCTTCTAATGAAACCGCCACTGTTATGCTTGTCTTCAGCCAAAAAGCACTCAAACCATGAAACGAATTGCATTTCTCTTCACACACTCTCATCTGACAGGAGCCTGAAGGATGTGCACATCACGAGTAGGAAGGGTGGTTTGTACAATTTGATCATGCTGTACAAGGAGAAAGCTGCAAATTCTGTGAAGAAACTAGCCTAGCTAATTAAAACATTATGTTTGGAAATGATTTTATTGGAAAATGACTGAAATACTGTATTCATGTTTTTTCAAAGCACCATGTTAGAATACATTAGAGCACATATACAATACTTATACAATATTTTATAAGAGTCGACAACAAAAATGAAAACAATACAGCTGCCAATAAAAAAATACAATAAAAATACAAACAATACAGCTGCCATGAAAGGTATCTGAAATAAATAAAATCTGAAAATTAATAAGAATATAATTCTTTCAATTACAAGGACATCCTGTTTTTAAATACAAAATGAGTTAGTTTTAAATACACAAATTAAACTCTGTGATCTTAGTTTAGGGGGAAAGTTATTCCAATCCATCGGAGCCTTCTAGCTAAAAGCTTTCTTTCCAATCTCATAATATACCCAATGAACCTTAAAATATCTTTGCTCAGACGGTCTAAAGAATATCCTGTATTTTGTTCTGATAAGTGCTTTTAAATAAATAGAACTTGTTTAATTAATTTAATAAGTAGAAATCAGAATAAGTTGACATAGATTGTTGCAAGTCACGTCTAGGGCTGTCAGCTGAATTAGATACGTTCCCATGAATTATACCACCATAGCCCAAGAGATTTTAGACTTTAGACCAGAGGCTTTTGCATGGTCAGTGATTAAATTAGGCTTCAAACAGGGAGCGTGAAGCATGGCTGAGTGATCCCACAGATACAGAGCTGCAGAAGGGGTGAGAGATGAGCGCTGCACGCATGCCTGTCTCCGCTGTCTCGTGATGTCCCTTCTCTGTTTCCTGGTTTCCTGCTCTTCGAATGCCGTCTTGTAACGCTGAACCTGAACACGATCCCCTAGCCCTCTCTTCACTTGTCTGCTGCCCACCCCAGGAAGGAGGAGATCTCATGCCTGAGCAGGGTTCCCTTCAGGAAGCCTGGTTCCACCTCGACCACAGCGACCCCCTCGTGAACCTCCTCCTTAAGGAGATGTCCTTCAGGACATAGAGGGTAAAGGACTACTTGTATTGATGCCCAAGATTGTAAGCACCCAAAAAATGGGAGATTTGGTTTGAACAATGACTTGCCTAACTTTCTCTTAACTCACATCTCTAGTATGATGGCTTACACACACCCCTGGATCGTGCAGAAGGAGAAGACTAATAACCTAGAGTTCTCCTTATCTCCATGTCCAAATATTCAAAAGCACATTGAAAAAAGTCTGCCCTGCAGACATCTTCAGAAGCAGTGAAGGAGAACCAATGGCCACAAGTGGAAACTATGTAAGAGTGCATTCAAAGCTGAGACCAGGAGATGATTCTGTACACAAAGAGTGGTGGGAGCCTGGAACAAGCTAGCCAGCTATGTTGCTGAAACCATGATGCCATTACACTGATGGCTTTCAAGAAAAGGTTGGGCAAGACCAATGGATTAGTGGCCAGCTCTGTGACCTTGGCCCCCCTACAAACAGCACAAACGATGAAACCCACCTCATTCATATATGTTGCATTTGTGCGTTTGTGCTGCTTTTGTTTCCGAGATATAGTGGCTTGTTTTTCGGGTGACATTGACCCCCAGTGACCCCGGTCAAGTAATCGGTTTCTCTTTGTCTCCTTCCTAAATAAACATGCGCACCAAGGGACATGCAAAGATTCGACCCGCCTCTCGAGCAAAGGATTTAAAAAGGCTTGAATCTGCAACTTTATGAACAACAAGACCACTTTTGCACTTTTTCTGCAAAGCACATTCGTCAACGTGAAAACGAACCAGGATGTTTTTTTAAGGGCCACTATGTACAAAGTTGACACAGGTAGTTCATAGCACATTGGAAAGTCTACCATCTCACACATGCCGGCCGCGACAATATTGGAAAAAACAATTTGTATCTTCACATGTCATAAGTGAACATATATCTTAGTTCTTTAATAAACTGTCATTTGCCACGTGTTTGTATTTACAAGGTTCCTATGGGCAATCAGTCCTTGATGTTGCATACAGCGTGAGGGCACACCTTGACCTCTGAAAACACACATTTGACGGCCTTTGTTAGATCGTCATATTTCTCCCAGGTGAAGTCGTGTCTTTTGCAGTGTGCGTAAGGACCCCGAACATGTTTGCTTGTCCAGATCCCTGAAGTTGCCTCCCCCACCCAACAAACAACGCAACGATAAAACCCACTGTAGTCGTTAGTGCTGCGTTTGTGTTGCTTTCGTTTCTGGTAATCATGTGACTGCAAGCCCAGGTGACTGCAAGCCCAGGTGACTACAAGGAAGTTTACAGGTACCAACACACTCGGTACTTTAATTCCTGGACGTGATGAAAACGAGTCTGTCTGGTCGGGTGGGGTGGATGTTTTACATTTCAGTATTGTGCTTTCTTTTTCTGGCTGACAGGCTCAGAAAACACACTGCACCCTTTGTTTTCATCACCTCCAGGAATTAAAGTACCGAGTGTGCTGGTACTTGTAAAGTTCCTTGTAGATAGTCACCAGGAAAAACAAGGTGCTATATCTTGGAAACGAAAGCAGCACAAACGCAGCACTCAGGAATGAGGTGGGCTTCATTGTTTGTGCTGTCCTGTAGGGGGGGGGCAACTTCACTGAGTTCACACCTACTGGTAGTTATCAAAAACTAATTAAAAACTCTGCAGCAACAAAAATGTGTTCCTTCATACATAATAAAGATAAATATGTTCGTAAATGTAATGGGTCAAGAAAGATGATTTGACAACACCTGAAGTACTTACTCTGTTGACATAAATATACTGTGAATCCAGTATCATTTTTGTCACATTTGACAGTGGGACTAGTTATTTCCACTTCCCTGTCTTCAGGCCCAAGCTGTAAATAAATGCTCTGTGTTCTATTAGCCATCATAACACATATAAAGATAAACATTTTTTTATTATTATTTTGTAACTTCCTGGCTGTCCCCTCCCACACAGAAGGTGGAGGAGGGGGGCATGAGGGATGCGGGAAGTGAAGAAAATGGATTTTTTGTGCCTCAGTGACTCAGCAACATCCCCTTTGAAAAGACGCCGGCTGCAGATTCCGACTCACTCAGCGGAGGGTGAGGAGAGCCCTTCAGTGCGGAGATGTTAGGGCTGCTGTTGCCGGCGCTGTCCGTGTTGGGTCTCCTGGGGGTCTCACCGCCTGTGACCGGCCTTCCCAACGGAGCCCCCACTTCAGCCTGCGAGAGCATGATGCCTCGTCATCAAGGGGTCCAGCCACAGCCTCCCCCGCCACCCTACACCATCCGAGTCAGCACCAGAACCAGCACAGCGGGCCAGCCGGTCCAAGGTAAACTCCCAGCATTCCTCCTCCGCGCAAAGGAAATACCAGGAATACTGCTTAGTGTCTCGTCTCCGGAGTCAATTAGAAATCACTTCGGCTCATCTCTGCCACTATATGAAAATAAGTTAAATGAAGTGGTTGTCTTTTTCATTTCCAAGATGATTTAAGCAAGGTGATGGAAAGCTGTGTAAACTAGCTCATTTTTTAAGCTGACCTGAAGTAACAGACAGAAGATGATGGAAGTGGTTCTAATTAAAGGAAATTAAGTAAGGTGACTCCCGTGCAATTTGTTTGCGTTGCACCAGACATCAGTGAGAGGGTTTCATATTTTCATAGAATAGTTTTGAAATTTGCCCCACTTTATGAGTGTATTAAATCATTGTAATCTCCCGATTGGATATTAGAGGTTTGATATTATCATAACTCAGTGAAATCCATTTCAGAGATACAGATCAGTGGGAGAATCAATAGAATATATAAGATCAGATTTTTATCATCCATTTTTCGTCGGTTTTGTTCTTCAAGGACAAAAAAGGTTTGAGTTGGAAAGTTTAATGTACCTGCATTAGGGCTAAGTACGAAGCCTCCCTCCCCTCTCCCTTTAGAGCAAGTGTTTTTTACAGTGGGTTTCGAAGTGCCCTCGAGCCATGGCAAGCCTCCAGGAGTAATGTTCTGGGGAACGATTTTGGACAATAGCTCTGAACAGTAAAGGAGATAAAGGGATGACAACTGTTAGATGATAAAGATACACATATGTATTCTCATCCATACAGACACGTTTTGAATCGGTTGATGTCTTGGTCAGGTCTAAAACATGACTCCATCCGTGTTCTAACCACTCCTAGCAATTCGGGATCGCTGGGGTGACAGAGCCCATCCCAGCCAGGAATGGGCAGGAGGCAGGATCCACCCTGCACAGAACGCCAGTCCGTCACAGGGCACACAGAAAGACACAGACCCGGGCAAATTTTCCAAGAAGCCAGTTAACCTACTGGTATGTCTTTGGACTACGGGAGGAAGCCCACGCTCCCACACACGGAGAACATACAACTTACTCACAAATAGTGACGCAGGACCAGAAGTGAAGGCAGCAATGCACAGCACTGTACCGCCATGTCACCCCTGTTAAAACATTTGTTCACTAAAACCAGAGAAGTCTCTTAATGCCCTCTTACTCAAGGCACTTTCGTTCCTGAATCTAGGTCAGGGATGTTAAGAAACTCTAAAAACCCATCACATGAAGTAGATTCACTGCCAGTGAGATTTAATGAAATAAAAAATTATGCAGTAAAATTTGAATATCGACTTTGAAGCAATAATCATGAAAAAAGGTTTTTATGTTTTATTAGCTTAAGATATAATCAAACATGGGCCTTTAAAATCAACATCATCATGGAGGACCTATAGATTCTCTTATGGCAAACTCATGAGTCTGTGTGAAAGATGTAAGAATCCGTCTGTCATATCCCTGGGGAATGCAGTTTGTAGGATAGAACGTGCCGTTCTTCAGAACAGGCACAGGCTACTTGTCACTCTGGAATCTGCACACTTTTTTACAGAGCCTTGTGTCTTGAAGGAACTCTTTTGTAACAAAGGCATGGTGGTATAGACCGGCTCAGTCAGCAAATGTGTATACATTTACCACTTTCCCTGTGGTAAAGTCACACCTTCCTGAAGCATGACGCTGTTATAAAAAAAACTTTTCACTAATGTTTAATAAAAGCATTTATAGCACATCTTTTAGGACACACGTGTTGATCAGCCTTTGTCTGGGGGGACATACTCAGAGCAGCTCCGCTATTTAAGAGGTAAATGGATAAAAACAAGTTTCTGCTTACGCAGCACCCAGAGGTCAGCATCAGCTCCTCCCTTACGGAACCAGACAAACTACAGTTGCCCTCCAGGTTTCTGCAAGGGACAGTGATGCTGTACAGTGCGTCTCTGTGGTTATCTTTCCTGGCCTGCTTCCTCTGCCTGACTGACTCGGCTGCGAATGTCTCGCCTCTGTGCTTTCAGTAACAATCCTGGGTCCGGACTACGCAGGGGTCCTCCTGGAGGCTCGGTCGGGATCGGACACCCGTGCCCTGGGGAGCTGGCAGACTCCTCCTTCCAACACCAAATTTCTAACGGTGGGTGACATCTGCACAAACACGCCGCTGTACATCTAGGCTGTCAAATGCACATACAGCACAGAGGCTCAGGAGGGATAGCAACAACCGAGAGGCTTTCATCCCAGCTGCTCGAACCCATAACCTTTCCCGACGTCATTCCCTGAAAGCTGCGCTAATCCTACATGAATCCGTCTTTCTCCCCATTGCGTTTCACGCTCCCCTCCTCCGCCCTCCGCAGACGCCCCCGGGTCGCTCCTCACTCCACGGGGGTCCCAGTCTCCTCGTCCTCTGGCCAGGGGGCTGGACCTCACTCTTGGTGGTCAAGCCGAGTCCCACTCTACCTAAGCACTCCTTAAACATCCTCAAACGCACCTCCATGCTGGGCATGCGTTTTTCACATGTGCAAGAGTCGTAATTCCTTGTGAACTATGTCGTGCGAAAGCGGGTTCAGTCTCATTTCCATTGTCCTCCGCCCCGGCCCTGGCCCGCTGTGTGATTTGGGACCCGATGTGTTGTGTGTTTCGCAGTGCTCAGGGAATCAACAAGGCGCGATCACCCACAGCAACACCAACATCAAGAACAACTCCACTGTCTACACCTGGATCACGCCCAGCGGGCCCAGCTCCATCTTCTTCATGTGAGAGCCGCCTACTTCACCCGCCCTGAAACAGATCACACAGAACGCAGGGCGGGCCGAGGTTTACAGCATGCTGAAAGGTTAAAAGACAGGAGACGAAGCATAATGTTTAAGCCATCTAGTCTCTAGATGTGTGGGGAGGCAAGATTCACACACTCGTCTGTAGTTCATTCTTTTTCTGCCTGTTCTCCGCAGCGCGTACTCTGATGCCCTTCCCTTCCTTACGTTACAAATATTTGTTTTTTCACATGTGCAAGAGCTCAACAGTGTCCTCCGAAACATAATTATCTTTCGAGGACTCTCCGTAGTACTTGTAAAAACTGCTCACACTACAGTGCAGCTCTGAGAGGTAAACTTAAGGAGAAGCATTAGCCCAATAAATCTTCATTTATAGATTTTAATTTTACATTTTTTTAATGCTTTAAAATTGTTTTTCAGGGCAACCGTAGCACAGCAAAGAACGGTCTACTGGCTGAACGTGAAGTCGGAACCACTGACCATCAGTGAGTCGTCTTTGCCTGTTTACTCTTTGACAGTTAACCCTTGCCTTGCCGAGCACCACACAAACACAGGTCTTGCTCTCAGTCCAGTGCGGAGCCGGGGTTTCGTGTACAGGGGTCTTGGTGGAAGGTGCTCATTAGGTCTCTCAGATATTTTCTGGCGAGTCTGGTGGGGAATTGCGTATTTTCAGTTTCAAGCGGGGTCCACCTTTGTTCTACCGCTGAACCCCAAATCTGAGTGTCATCCCTCAGGCACACCATATTTCAGAACATGATTCTGGAAAATGCTGACTCCTCAGTTTACATCACACCTCTCTGGCCATGCCAGCAACCTCCATGCCAGTGAACAAATATCCCGTGGCTTAATATGAAATCCAGCACTAAACATACCGGGTGTCTAAAGAGTAATTTCACTTTTTATGTATTTAAATTCACTAAGGAGCCAAGACAGTCCTGAGCTGCAGGGCAAGACAAACACAGAAGTGGAAATACACTGTATGGTTTTTACCAATAAAATCCCACTTGGGGAAATGAGACCAGGGTGACAATACCTAAAACATTGTGTAACGCGTACATATCAAATACCAGGTTTCTTCAAAAAGTTAAATAAGTAATTTTCTTTAACCTCTGACCATTCTACCGCATTCCCTGTTTCCCCTGTAACATTACATGTTTTAAGGACCTGTCAAAGCATCTTGCCTTTCACAGCACAGAGCACTAAGATCGACTCATGAGAAAGGAGACTGCATGTCACTACTCTGGGACGCATTTTAAGTAAACGACCCGTGTCCAGTGAGGAATGAGCAGAACTGCTCACTGGGGTTCTCCTCTTCTCGTCCAGCAGGTGGGGTGTCTTTGGAGGGGGGCGCCAGTCCCGTGGCCGTGGCTGGGGGGCTCCTGTTCCTCCTGCCCAGCCTTCTGCTGACACTGCTGTACTCCAGCTAGAAACACAGAGCTCTGGCGGCCAAGAGGAGAGGAGGCCCCCTGTCTCTCCCAGGGATCGTGATGGAAAGAGCAGCTCATCTCCTGAGCCTAGAACAGGTTGCTCATCTGTGAGGTTTAGCTGCAGTTGATTCCCCCAGGCTTTGAGTTCTGTCTCAGATTCTTTCTAATAATGGCCTTTTCTAAATATTTTTTACTGATTAGTTATCTCAGTTTAGTTTTATAGGATTTTAAAAAATATATATATATTTTTTAAGTCCACTCAGGTGCTTTCAAAATAAAATGTCACTTAAGCTTTGAGTCATTTTACAAAATTACTTCAAATGTACTGCTATTAACACTTTAATAAAGATATTAAACCATTCGAATGCTCCACAAAGTATTTTTTTTGTAATAGCACATTACAACCATAAGAAAAGTAATAAAATGAACCTGAACAAAGTTGCCGTCTCGTACAACACAATTACTTCCTCCTGGGTTCCCCTTCACCATGAGCTAAAACAATCTCAGCCTGGAACACGGTTCACTGCAGTGCACAGATCCAGGCAGAACTGAGTCATTACCTGCTGTATATATGAACATTTACAGTGAAGCAATATGAAGCTGTTCGTGTGTGTGAAGTGGAGATGTAAATGTCTAATACTACAAAGAAATAAAGGCATTTTCATTGACCTTTGGTACATTTGGGAACACATCAACGGTTAATACATCTTCACTTTTTCCTATATAATAATCATTGAAGAGAAATTGAATCCATATAACCTCAAGATACTAAAATTTCAGAGAACGCCAGACAAGACCTGTACAGTACATGCCACATTTCTTAACTGATTACACTAAATGTGAACAAAAAAAATTAGAACACCAGTCATGACTGGGCTCTCGACCATGTCTCCATGACTGCACAGGGACCTGCACGAAAGACCATGATAAACTTCGACATTCCAGCCTGCCACAGCCATTTACCTTTTGTCACATGATCGTCTCTTCAGTGGCTTTTGGGAAAGTGGGCACTGATGATGTCACTGCCAGCATGCAGCTGCCTGTGATGTCACGGAAGCCGCAGTTTAACAAAAAGCTGAGAAGATCCCGTTGGACTAATAAATGGGCAGCTCTCTGCCCATTGTGAACTATCCTTTAGGGTGCCCTGGTCACAGCTGGCTAGTGACACTCCTCAAGCTCGATCAAAACCCTGTGGACATGTTCCTGTATTAAAAACAACTCCACTGATCCAGAATGGAGAAGCATGTGTAAGAACCCTCTCCCAGAGATCAGATGTGTGATCAATAGAATTTTATTAATGTACAATAGGTCCAGAAAATCAAACATCCGATTTGCAGCTGGTGTTGCAGAGCTCGGAGCCTTCAGTGAATGTTTTCTAAACCCTGTTGGGAGAAAAGGAAATTAATTTCAGGAGATGCCAGTCACAGAGTTCAAGACAGGCTACACTCAAATAGTTTAAGTAAATCATTTTCTACATTTTATACTAAATCCATGTTTTAGTATAAGCTACATGTGCCTCTTTTTCTTAAGCTCTTTTACAAAATGAGTTTGTGATTGTGCCTTTACATTTTTAAAACTTTGAAATAGTTATAGTATAAGGTAATTCTCTGACAACATCTACATCTACACTTTGCATGTCAGTATGTTTCTGGATGGTTTGTGCATTCACTAAATACATAACAGCATTTAGTTGTGTTTTTCCCCCCACAAAAGTGTTTTTCCAAGAAACCTAACACATCCAGGCTTAATCCCTGGAGCATGTTCTTTAATAAGTGCACCACCAAACACCCAACTTCAGTGGTCAGTTATTTTTTTCTTCAAAGGGCATTTTGTACCCTACAAATGAATTAAAATCCCTCACCTTGGATTTGTGATACACACCCACACCTGACACGCGCTTGTCCCTCTCCATCAGGTACCACTGGTAGGGGTACCGGGCAGTTCGCTTTTCCTGCGAGCAGAACAGGGGGACAGTTGAGTGTCGACTGGAGAAACGTGCTGGCAAGCGGCGCCTGCCAAACCCACTCCAAACACACGATACAGTCCTGGGTTGTGCTGAAAAGTGATATTTTCTGCTCCGAAGTGTTTTCCCCTCCAGACTATTTCCAAGGGCCCCTGGTGGCTGCTGGTTTTCCTCTAAACTGAGTTCTCAGTTACCCCAGTGAATCCTTACTCAACTCTTGCTTACAAACAGAACAATTCAGGGTGCGAAGGGCACGTCTGGGCAGGTCAAAGCCAACCTGGACAGACACTACGGGCCAAGGACAAAGGGGACGCCCCAGGTGTGATGTTAGGAGTGTCTAAGCTCTGCAGCAAATCACTTTATTATGGGCCATATACAATTTCTTGCGTTAGGAATTTGTCTTTTGTGTGAGACACACAGACAGGGAGAGAAGCTGGGGGTCAGAGTGCAGGGTCAGCCATTGTACAGCACCCCTGGAGCAGCTGGGGTTAAGGGCCTTGCTCAGGGGCCCAATGGAGTAGGATTCCTCTGCCGGCCGCGGGATACGAACCGACAACCTTCCAGCCACAGGCGCAGATCCTGAGCCACAGTGCCACCACACCGCCCCTGGATGGCACTCTGACTGCACAGAGCTACACTCGTCAAGCCCTGGGACCCATCGCCCTTCTCTTTCGGACAAGACAACATTCCAGCAGGACAGGGGACTCCTGCTGCTCACGTAACAGCTGCTCTCCTGGGAGACGCGACTGACAGCCACGCTGGGGCTCCACACAGCCCTGAACCGTGACTTTCACAGGAGACCCCACACTGCAGACCAGCCCCGATGATGGTAAATGCTAATCAACATGATGACTACCAGTGCACCTGCTACAACAGAGACCGCAAATTTTCATGACCTGAGAGTTTGGCACCGTTAGACATTTCTTTAGATGACCAGTATACTACACCTCAACCTGAAATTCAGATTAGAAATGTTATTTCGAATGCAAACGCTTTATTACCAACACCACACTCACGCACATCTTCAATGTAACAGAATGCAGCATTGGAGAAGCGTTGATACCTGTAGATTTGCCATAACCCAAACGCACTGCAAAAGCCAGACAGATCGACCTCACCTTTCCGCCGTTCGTCCACTTGTGAATCTGAGCCGTCGCCATCCCAGGAACCATCAGACAAGCGGTCATGATGGCAAAGCCGGGCAAAATTTCGTACCACATAATGACTTGCTTGATGAAATATCAAAGCTTTCGCGTTATTTCATGAAGAAAACGCTATTTAATCACCTCCCTCTCGCTCCGCCGTCCTCCAGTGGGTCACTGCAAAACACTTCCGACAAACTCCATCACTTCCGGAAGAAGAAACGACGGTCAAAGTAAAAAGGGCGCCGAGCGACGAGTAGCGCCGCCTGCTGGTTAGGAGTTTTGCTGCAAAGTACTGCTGCTCTTCCAGCTGCTCAATTAACTTCTATAATGTTACAGTTGTTAATACTCGGCCGTTTTTTGTGTGTGTATTTGTTGGTTGTAGCAAATAATATGTTTTTAAAGAAGCTTTTTTAAGATTGTTTTTTTTTCCCGAGCTAATACACAAATGACACTAAACTGTGACAATGGATACTCCTTTCTAGCTATGCTATGAGGTTCCCGGTCGGACAAAACCACGACCTGTTGGTCTGAACTGCAAGCAGCATAAACATGAAGGAAATTGAATAAACGAGTTTTGTTGGCACGGCACGTTACAGGGGAACTGCCAAAGCATTTGTGCGAAACAGAAGGTTAGTACTAATATTAGCACTGGGGACAAACTAAGATACAGTTCAGTGTAATAACTTAGAGTTGATATTTGATTATAGTTTATATTGTGTAATACAAGCCTGCAGCTCCCTCGCTCCCTGCTTTGGGAATTGGGGAATAATGTTTGGGAATAAGTTTTTCTTCTAAGCGAGCTCGCAGGCTTGCGTGTCTTTCCACTTGTTGTGGGTGTGTGCCGGGTGTCACCCACTGCCCCTCGGGCTGTGACAGGTCTGATTGCCCGTGCTCTCCCAGCAGGATGGAGATTGTGTTTTCATCCCAGAGGAGGAGTATGACGTGTATTTTAGGGCTCTCGATTTACGGGGAAGCAGACACGGGTGAGCAGAAAAAAATATTATCTCTGTCGACCTGCCTCTCATCTGACGAGTGAGCACAAAGCTTGTCATTGCTGACAGTCCAGGGTTTTTTTTTCTGTCTTTAATGAGGATATGCGACTTCTGAAAAAATATTCTACAGGGTTATAATCTTTTATAATCGGGGCAGGTAACAGTACGTTGTTTTTTTTTAATTTCATTGCTACTAGGTCCACTAGGTGTGATTTTATTCTGTATTGTTGCTGCAAGGATTGTCCTTGTGGATGTACTGTAGAGGTCTCCGATGCGAATTTAGTCTCTAATATACACGAGAATCGGATGAATCAGATCGTGTTTCTGAATTGCGCGTTGCTTTTCGCTTAAACGCACTTTATGCACATATCGAATAACAGTTATGCATATGCAGCGCTTGGTCTTTTCGTTGCCGCTCCCAGACTAAGTCAGGTATCCCCCCGAATAAACTCTCCAGGAGATAGCCCAGCTACAGCTCCGTGTTTCAGGCGGGAGTATTCAAAACCCCTTCAGGAGGGGAGGGGGGTGAGGGGGGATTCCAAAATATCGCGAGATCCTGGCATCGCCGGAGTTTTCCCGCAGACGAAGGCCCTTCTGATATCGCGATACCCTGTGACGGTCGGCGATTACCAGCCAATCAGGGCGAAGTCTCGCTTGTTGCCACAAGGAAAAAAAAAAAGAGAGAGAAGAAATCCCAAAACACAAAGTTGAGAGGATCGCCGACCGCAGGGGTAGGGGGGTTAAGGCCGGCCCACCTGTTTCGCGACTGAAAAACCGGGGTTGCTGCCCGTCATGAAGGAGGACAAGGAGAACGCCCGGCCGAAGGAGAGGAAAGCGGAGCTGAGGTGCGAGGAGCCCGAGAGGGCGGAGAAGCCGAGCAGGGAGAAGAAGGAGATGATGACAAAGGTAGGACCCGGTCGCGGTGGGCAGGGCAGGGAGGCCTCAGCGCGGTGTGGTGGGGCTGGGCTGCACATCGGGGGCTGTCCGGGGGCCGGAGAAAACACATCGCCGTCCGCCCTGCCGAGCCGAGCCGAGCCGAGCCGAGCTGCGCGGCGCAGAAGCGTCCAAGTTTGAGCCGCCGGCCGGGGACGCGAGAGTCGCCGAAAGTTAGGTCGCCGGAGCCCAGCGGCGATTCCGGTGACCCCGACATGCCCCCTGTCTGGGTGTTTCATGCCCGTCTCTCTCTCTTTCTCTCTCTCTCGGCCGCTGCCGTGTGCTTGTTCGCCCTAGGAGCGGTGGGTTTCCCGGCGGCAGAAGCGCCACTTTCTCCAGTTAACTTTAAAAATAAATAAATAAAGGTGAATCGTGATAAGTCTCGGGTCTTGGACGTTGCGGAGTCCCGCTTCCGATGTGTCACCGGCGAGTGTTGACTCTGCCCGCACCCAGGGCTGTGACAGGCGGGGTGTCACTCCTGGCCCTGGGAGATCAACAGATAAACACGTGTTAAATGTGTCCTGATTCTTTTAGATCCGCTGGTTGAGCAGTCTAGACCTGGAAGACAGCTGTCAGGCCGTTCATGTTGTCGCTGCAAGAAAGATCTCTTGTGCACCTGAATTGATCGAGAGACCTCTTCAGATGGCAGATGTGGCCGTGTCTTGGGAAACATTGAGGCATTGAGTGGTAGATGGCTGGGTGCACTGTACACCGTGATTTTAAAAGTCCTCCTCGTGTTTGAATGAAATGAGCTGTGTTCTCTGTAATAAACATTTGTAAACTTTTTTTTAACAAAATCAAAAACATCTGCACATTTAGTGACAGATTCGGAGGGGATCAGTCTAAGCCAGAAAGGGAAGACCAGGGTACGCAAAACCTGCTTTTACTCCTGAAAAGTCGGAAAGGCAGCTGTGTGGCACGGTGGCCAGGTTTCTGAATTTGTCACTCGACTGGTTGTGTTCTGTATTAATAGTTGCAGATGTCTGTTGTTTTAGATAAAGGTGTCGCACACCAAAATTAGTTGGAAAGAAATAAAAGGCTGACGTTCATCAGAGTAATTATTTCTCCCGAAGTTTAAAAATGTAAGTTTAAAAAAAAACTTTGCACAAGCTCTCCCGATTCAGTTAGGGTGAAGAGGAGGGTTCTGGCCACGAGGTCGAATGGCCTCTTGTTAGTTACAGGGAGGAGTGTAACCCTGCTGATGAACAGGGCTGTGTGGTGGAGTCGGGACACTGCGCTTGTGTGTGCCAGGGCCTGGTCAGCTCTGCAGCTCTGCCTCCTCGACCTCTCCCTGCTCCTGCTCCGTCAGAGCTAGACTCAAGTCCCTCTTCTTTAGAAGGGCCTGTGTTTAACTGGCTCTGTGTGCCCTGGTGTCCCTGCTGAACTCCACACCCCCTTCTGCCGTCTCCTCTCGTTGTGCACTTTCAAAGCGTATGGACTTTGTGTATTTTTTGGTTTTATCGTTGTTTTGAAAAGCGCTTTGAGAAGCCCTTTTAAAGGCGCTGCATGAGATGAAAGGTCAAGGCGTCTTCCCTGCTGAAAAGAGAAGAAAAGCAACGCAACGTTTCGGCTGTGGGGCCTTCTTCAGGAGTGGCAGGAGGAAGACTCGGAGAAGGCTCCAGAGCTGAAACACTGTGTTGCTTTTCTGCATGGAATGAACCTCTACTTGTTCCTTTGCAGCCTGTGCATGCTGACGCGGCTCCCTACTGTACTTAAAAGTAGGGAGGTGGCACCGGGCAGTGTGGTGGCTCTGTGGCTCAGGATCTGCACCTGTGGCTGGAAGGTTGGCGGTTCGAATCCCACGGGCGGCAGAGGAATCCTACTCCGTTGGGCCCCTGAGCAAGGCCCTTAACCCCAACTGCTCCAGGGGCGCTGTACAATGGCTGACCCTGCGCTCTGACCCCAAGCTTCTCTCCCTGTCTGTGTGTCTCATGGAGAGCAAGCTGGGGTCTGCGAAAAGGACAAATTCCCTATACAAGAAATTGTGTATGGCCAATAAAGTGATCTTATCTTAAAATAAAAGATTATTGTTATCGGATCATATGGAAGATTATGTTGTTGTTCTTGTTGTTACAGATCGTCCTTCGCCGACTCCCTCCCAGCCTGACCAAGGAGCAGCTGGAGGAGCAGCTGCAGCCCCTGCCGGAGGTGGATTACCTGGAGTTCTTCGCCAACGACACCAGGTAGCGCAGCCGGACCCCGCGGGAGAGCCGCGCGGCGCCTGGAGACTCGCACACCGCTGTTGGGTTTGTTCCTGACTGGCAAGCAGCTACACAGCTGAGCCCCTACTCCACAGACAGGGTTAATTCAGACTGTTTGACTGCTGTCACATGTTAAAGATGTTGGGGCCCTCCAACATGTGGACTGTTATTATTTAATAAATAATCAGCAGGGGAAAAAACTTGGCCATTGCTGCCTCGAAGAGCTGGGGCCCGTGGCTCAGTTTTGGATTCGGGGTGCTGTCTGCGTGGAGCTTGCATGTTCTCCCTGAGTTTGTGTGGGTTTCGTCACGCACAGTCCAAAAGACAGACTGGTAGGTGAATTGGCTTTTGGGAAATTGGTGTGTGTGTGTGTGTCCCGCAGTGGACTGGCGTCCTGGGTGGATCCAGCCTTGTGCCTGTTGCTTGCTGGGATAGGCGGACAGAAAATGGATGGCTGGAAAAAGTCAGGCATCTTGTTAGTGAACTCATTCAGCTGGGCTGACATGAACAGCAGCAGGTGTCTGGCTGTCTGTCCCAGGACTGGGAACCCTGGCCTTACGGCGCTGCGTGACCAGGCCAGGAGCAAGAGACACAGCACCTCTGCTGACTCCTGGAGCAAGTCTTGGCTCCGGCAGAGCCCGCTCAAATTGGAGAATCGTGGTGCAACTCTACACAATGCTGCTAATTTAAGACCTTTTCTGCATGAGTTGTTTCCACGTATGCACTTGGGTTTGTGTCCGTGTGGTGTGACTGAGGACTGTGCTGACTCGCGCCATGGCCACACATGAGGTCAGTAAATCGGAGTCTGAATGTACAGCTGAGCAAAGAAGACTTCGGGTCTGATGGATGTAAAGACGCTGCCTTGGACGGCTTTGTATAAAATGAACTGTAACGTATTGATGCAGTGTTGTTTATCTGTAAACCTGCGTGTAAAATAATTATTTTGTTCTGTGCAGTTTGTTTCCCCACCTTTTCTCAAGAGCCTACATCAATTTCAAGAACCAAGAAGACATTATGCTTTTCAGGGACCGGTTTGATGGTTATGTTTTCATTGATAACAAAGGTACAGCCTCTTCCTCGTTTGATCGGTCTTTTAAAAAAAAAAAGTCAAACAACTAACAAGCATTGGGATTGTAACATTGTGATTTTTTTTCTGGGAAAAAGGTCAGGAGTACCCAGCAATTGTTGAGTTTGCACCTTTTCAGAAGATTGCCAAAAAGAAATCTAAGAAAAAGGACGCTAAGGCTGGTACAATTGAAGAAGGTAAAGATTTCAAAAGCTATTAACTTAACATTAGAGCCTTACAGTGTTTCTTTAAGTGATGGCCTTGTTTAGAAGGTGTTTTGATTCATATATAATGCACTGCAGTTTGGAAATCCCTGAGCTGTTATTAAACTGCAGCAACTCTAAATATTATTAGAATGACCTTACAGTGTTCATTAAACCATAACGAATTAACTTCTTCAGCTTTTTCCCTTTGTGGTTTTCAAAGATTCGGACTACAGGAAGTTCTTGGAGCATTACAACGGAGATGAGGAAAAGCTGACATCTACACCGGAGACGCTGCTGGAAGAAATAGAGGCCAAGACGAAAGAGTTAGTAGGTGTGTAAGTCAGAAATGAGTTTGTGTGAGGTCGATTGTTGAAGTATCTTCCTTTTTTTCTTCCCCAGTTTTTCTAACCAGCGCACAGGAGGAAAAATGAGCCTAGAACGATTGATTCGTTGAGAAGCGGGTTGGATATTTGATTCTTTTTCACTGTTTTGTTTTTATTCCTCCAGCTAAGAAGACGACTCCGCTCTTGGATTTCCTGAAGAACAAGCAGGTAAAGTGGGCCCTGTGGCTTCGGACGCTTCGCTCCGGCGGTGCCGTTCCGGCCTCGGTTAACGCCCGGCTTTGGCTCCCGGCAGAGAATGAGGGAGGAGAAGAGGGAGGAGAGGAGGAGGAGGGAGCTGGAGCGCAAGCGCCTGCGTGACGAAGAGCGCCGGAAGTGGAGGGAGGAGGACAGGAGGAAGCGCAAGGAGGTGGAGAGGCACAAGAAGGGGGACAAGAGCTACGACAAGGAGCGGGACAAGTCCAAGGAGGAGCCGAAGATCAAGGTAACGGAAGAATCGCTGCCGTTTGCCCTCCCAGCCGGTCGCGAAGCTGCAGCTGAAACCATTCCCTGCGGCTTCCTGGTGTCATTACTGGGAGCTGTCTGCTGGATTTTTTTTCTCTTCAGTTTATTTTTATATAGCGGCTTTCACAGCAAGGCTGCCCCCAAGGCGCTTGACAAAGCAAGTGACCGTACAGGTTGGGAATACAGAACAGGAAAGACCAGAGGACAACGGAGGAGAGGAATCAAAAACTCCTCTGTAAGGAGAAACAAAACCTCTAGGGGTCCAAAGTCAACTGGCTGCCCAACCCCTTTAGGCATGCTAACATTATATAATTAAAAAAGGAATAAATGAACGCTGGTATTAATCCATCCGTCATGTCTTCTGTATGTCAGTACTCCATACAGATCTCTGTAGACCAGCAAAATCCTCCTAAACGATAGCTGTATCCACGATGTCTCTCTTGGATCCGTGGTAGTGATGCAGCATTCAACTCATGTGGGGAGGAGAGTAGGATAGTCGGGTCAGAACAGATGTATCTACCTGGTGGGCCCACACAGAGACACACAGTGGCATGTACAGCAGCACCAGCAGCCATGGCTGCAGCAGGCTATGGTGTAAGGTGTGAGTAGGCTAGGCTGAAGTTAAAGGTTTTCAGTCTGGATTTGAATATGTTGGTGTAAAGTGTTGTGACCTCGTTATCGGGAACATGCTGTGCTACGAGATGTGTTGTCACCCCTCAAAACCTCCACTTTTCCCAGCTCCTGAGGAAGCCGGAAAAGGGGGATGATGCAGACCTGGAGAAGCCAAAGGAGAAGGTGAAGAAATCGGAGAAGGAGAAGATAAAGGAGGACCGGTCGTCTTTGTCTGGGGGTGACCTTAAAAAGCGCCCCAACGTCGGGGTGCACGAGGACAGAGGAAGAAAGTGAGTGCGTAGGGTGTGGAAGTGGTTTCCTGGGACCGTTCAGTCCTGCTGTTTTTTTTGGTTGAAATATTCCTTCATTTCAACTCTCTTTAATGCACATACTTGGAGCGAACACACGTGGCGGAATAAAGTGCGATCTGCTGCGCGCCGGGCACTGCTGTCAGCCTCTGCTCCCCGTCCGCTGCTGCAGGTCGGAGGAGGACGGCCGCAGGGACTACCGGGACCGGGACCTGGACAGGGAGCGGGAGCGCAGGCAGCGGGAGAAGGAGCGCCTGCGGCGGCAGGACGAGGAGCGCCGGCGGAGGAGGGACCGGCAGGAGGCGGAGCCCGGGTACCGGCGCTGGGAGGAGGAGGGCAGGAGGGAGAAGGACCACGCCTGGGAGAAGAGGAGGGCCGAGAGCGCGGCCGCCCGGGAGGACAAGAAGGACGAGCCCGCGAAGAGAGACCGGCTGCGCAACAAGGTGCGTGTTTTGTGTCAGACGAGCTCAGCCAGGGCACAGTACGAAAAGCCAGAGCACGCCGGACCAAGCGAACCTGAAGTGACCCAACAATGTGTCTTTCCTTCTTTCCTTCTGGTCTCGGTCGACAACTAAATCTGTGAAAGGGTGAAGAGCTTCCTGGAACGCTGGTGGTTTGTCTCCATGGCAGTGGGCACTAAAGGGGTCGGGGCCATCGTGTAAGGACATATGAACCTGCTCAGATAATATTTAATTTTAATAATAATGTTTCTTTATTAGCCCTATACAATTTCTTGCATTAGGAATTCATCTTTTCACATACCCCAGCTTTTTCTCCATGGAGACACAGACACACAGACAGGGAGAGAAGCTGGGGGTCAGAGCGCAGGGTCTGCCATTGTACGGCGCCCCTGGAGCAGTTGGGGTTAAGGGCCTTGCTCAGGGGCCCAACGGAGTAGGATTCCTCTGCCGGCCGCGGGATTTGAACCGGCAACCTTCCAGTCACAGACGCAGGTCCTTAGCCACAGAGCCAGCGCTCCTCCCTTTACTCTGGGCCTATTTAATTCCTTGCTCTGACTCATCGTTAACGGGCTGGTAGTTCTGGAGAGCCCGGAGTGGTTATTTCTAGTCCGGTTAGGAGCTGTGTAGCCCCAGGTGTCTGGAAGTGGCGGGTGGTTATGTGCGTCTCTGTTCCGGCAGGACCGGCCCGCGATCCAGCTGTACCAGCCTGGTGCCAGGAGCCGCACCCGCGTGGCCACGACTGGGGACGCGCCGGCCGAAACCGACGCCAGGACCGCCCAGGAGAAGGGGGAAGAGTGAGGGCCCGACTGCGCAGGGGGGCGGAGGGGCAGTGCAGCCCGCGGCCCGGCCTCAGCAGATCCGCTCCTCCCCTCCCACCGCCGGGGGACGGCGGGGCAGCGTTGCTTTTCAGTCCGGTTGCCTTCTAGTGCCTGAATGAGACGCTTTAGTTTTGTTTGAGGGAAGAGGGGGGAAAAAAAAGAAAGAGGGGGGGGCGCGAGGCTCCCCGAATGTTAAACGAGCTCAGCCAGGGCACAGTACGAAAAGCCAAAGCACGCAGGACCAAGCGAACCTGAAGTGACCTTACAGAGGCACAGAGCCCTACATGCTGCCCCGTGCAGCAGCAGCAGCAGCACGCGGCTCTCGCGCTGTGTTCAGAAGGCTTGCACCCTTTAATAGTTTGCAGCTGTCGCATACACACCCAAAACCCGAGAATATCAACATACTGCCTAGAACATCCTACTTTCTTACCGGGACTTGTGTTCTTAATTCATTCTTTGCAGAACAGCATCTAGTGTCCATTGCATTGTGTTTTTTTTTTCCGAAGCCTGGATTATTATAATTACGTTTCGGAGTAATGTTGTTTGTTGTTCATCATTTCTAAAACCTGCGCTGAACAATTCTGCCGTTCAGTTCACTTGTTATATTTTGGTTCCAAATAAATCTTCTTAAGATGGCCTAATGTATTTCCTCCCATTTTCAGTTTTTACACTGAGATTCGTTTAGCCAGAGCTGCTGTGAAAACGCACTTTGTGTTCAGCCAGCACCCAGTTGCTCTTCATGGCGACTGTGGGCAATACAGCTTCTATCTCCTAGTGGCCTTCCACATTTCTGCATGTGAGGCGTGTTCATCCCCTGAATGTGATCATCTCCCTCAATAAAGCTGTTCTGTGGAGATCAACGGTGTTTAAGCTCATTGTTTCCCCATCCTCTAACATCTTTTAAAATATTGAGTGCGCTCACTTCCCTTTCTGATATGTGCTATTTTTATTTTTTAATGCACTTGTCGTGACTTTTTTTAAAGAGATGAACAAGAAACATCAAATAAAAGTAATTTAATTGTTGATGTCTTCTTTGTTGCTTACCTTTTCCAAGGTTTTTATCATAAATATTTTTTTGTTGTGGTTTGAGTGTGGTAAATCAATTCATTATTATGATGTAAATCGTAGTTCTGTTAATCTAATTGAGGTGGAATGTAGCATTTTTATAATGTTAAATTGCTTTATTAATACGGTGCACTGCAAACTATATACGTCGCTAGTCTGTATTGTGAAAGTGACATCTGCCTCACGATGCTGGTGATAGGTGCTTGTTAAATGTATTTTTTTAAATCAGTGTAATATGATGTTTAAATTACAGGGACTGATTTTTTTATGGCAACTCTAAAACACGTGTAAATTAATCCAAAAGGCAAACTCATACATTCTAACCATTGTAAACGAGTGTAAAAAGCTAGTTTTATTCTTAATTACTTAGGTGTGGGCTGTATTTTTTAGGTTGAAGTTACACATTCATTGTGTAGATCACTGTGGGGTCTTTAGTGCTGAAAAAAGTTATAGAAATATAATTATCGTCCATTATCCTACATAAGGTGAGTTATTACGGAAGTACTCCGATTGAAGGCATTTCTCGGAGCCACTGGGGGGCGCTCTATGTTGAAAGCCACCCCTCCTCCAAGCAGCAGACGTAAACTTTGACCTTTCCCAGCGTTCTCTCTCTCTGACAACCGCCATTGTGGTGATAGGATTGTGAATTCACAATGGTAAGGAAAAATCTTTAAACATCCTACTTAATAGCACAGTAAAGACTGCAATCGGTAGCTCAGATGCGAAATGTACTTGCTAACGTTTCCGACAGCCTGGATATTGAGGTGTAGGCAGGCCAGCAAGACCCTTGATGGAGGATTCTGGACGGACGGTTCCTCTCCGTTTTGGAAGTGATAGCCGCTGTGTAAACGTGACATTCACAGCATGCATTTGTGTTCACCGTCAATGCGTGATCTCACTGCGTAAGGAGGGTAATTACTGTTACTAGAGGAAAAAAAATAACTTTTTTTCGGGAAACGGTGGCGAACCCAGCTAGCCCTAGCAGAGGCATCGGGGTGGTGAACCGCGATGGGCGCTGTGTAAGGCGAAGTTTACAGGTTGTTGAGAGTGTGAACGGACTGGTGCTCTCCCTCTCAAGAATGAAAACTGCGGTCATTTCCCACGTTGAGCTCTCCTAGTGGATCCGGCAGGTTGAGCTCCTGAGACGTGGCTGCGATACTCCCGATCGGTCTGCACCGTGACCCAGTGTTTGTTTTTGTAGCGATGTGATTAGAAACTTAACAGAGACAATTCGTGAGCATCATGAAGCGTCTTCACGCGTCGTGGCCTGACACACAGTTGGCTTGGGGGCCCCGTTGAGTTTGAAAGGACTTCGGGGAACTTGCTTCGTGGGAGACTGGGGTGGCACCACGCCGTGCGCGTCCGGGCGTGCGTGGAGTGGGGATTCAGTTTCTGGGAAGGGGGTCACTTGCCCGGTGCTCTCTCCGGTGGGGTGATCGGAGGGGTTGCCTGACGACATAATCGTAACGTCCGCTGCCCGACGTCTCTTTCACAGTCATCCCACAAGACCTTCAGGATCAAGCGCTTCCTCGCCAAGAAGCAGAAGCAGAACAGGCCGATCCCGCAGTGGATCCGCATGAAGACCGGCAACAAGATCAGGTGAGCCGGAGGGGTCGCAGTGAGCAGAAAGAGCGTTTCCTGGTCGCTGACCGAAAGTCTGAAGCCGTCAGACAGATAATTGAAGGTCTTGAAGATAACTGTGTGCACGCCAGGCTGTTATTATTGATGTCAGCAGAAGTGCTCTTAAGTCCCACATTTCATTCGCGTCCACCTTGTTGAGGTTTCTACAGCAGGATGCAATTACAGTGCTTCATTCTGTGGGAGTACTGCCATTAACCTGCTGAGAGCGAGGTCCTGCCGCAGTCGTCTTCAGCGCCGGCACTCTGGTTGCCGGCGGTGAGTGTTCTGTAGCAGGTACACAGTGACACTTCAGGGGGAAGGAAATCCGATTTCTTTCATAGAGCGTGTGTGTACTGTTTGTCTACACAGTGCATCACTTTTGTGTCGTAAAGGGTGATGTTTAAAATTGTGTTGCTTACGTGTTGGTCAGAGTTGGGGGGGGTGGGGGTGGAAAGAAATTCTCTTGTGTGTTATCTTAATGATGTAACTCAACAGCTTGGGGGTATGTTGGACAGGTGATATAATTCATCCCTCCTCCCAGCCTAGCGAGATTTTATCATTCAAGTGTAGCTGGTGCACTCCTTAAATTGACATTTTGCACCTTAACTGGGTTTTGATGGGGTACGGGATATTTTTAAATTACTAACCTTAATTATTTATACACCTTTGATCTGTTGGCTGTCTCATTACACCACAGGTGAAAGCATGTAAAAAATACATGTCAATATGAACGTCTGTGTACTCTGGGACTAGTGACCAGCACTGCCTGTAAACTCTGCCTTGAGGGGCAGAAGAGGGAAAGCTCTGGCTGCAAAAAGCAGCTCTTCATGGCTGTAGTCACATCAGTTTCCCTTCGGGATCAATAAAGTCTTATCTATCTAGTCAGCAGACGTTTGGTGATTTTTGATTTTGAATTGCAAGGAATGATTGTCTGTACTGGCACAACCTAGACCTGTCACTCCAGGTGCTCAGTAAAACCATGTGCCACCACTACCGTGGTCATATCTCAAGCACCCGAGAGAGAGAGACATTTCCTGACACTAGCGAGCTTAAGACAACTGCTGATCAGTTTGAACCAAGAAGAGAGAAGAGCTGAGGATTGAAGTCATGTTTTGTAGGTACAACTCCAAGAGGAGACACTGGAGGAGGACCAAGCTGGGCCTGTAAGCCAGCGGTTGAGCTCGAAGCCCTGCACCCTGCCGGCAGTCCTGCTGGATGGAGGTCAGGAGAGAAGCCACGTCACCAGGAACAGCTGTCGCTCTCTTTTGTACAGATTCTACCCATGTTCATGTGTGCGCAATAAAAACCAGCACTCGGTGAAGAAATAAGTGTCCGTTGTGTTTTGTGGCTCAAGGATGGGTCATTTGCAGAAGCAGCGTGTTGACTGAAGAACTGGGCCTCTAGAACTGCTCTGTAACCCATGTACACCGGTCAGATCCTGGTTTCTCTGTGCAGTTTAGAGCTGTGGTCTTTCTAAAGTGCTGCACGTACCACAAATTAGGATGTTGGGAAAGGACATTATGCTTTTAACAGTTGCAGCGAATTACATTAGTGTACAATTTAACAGTTGGGGTTTCTTTGCTAAAACATTCTTGATGCAATGTTGGTTGAGACTTTGCATTGTTTTTCTGTAGAGCTTTTGCTGGTTTGCCAACCCCAACGACGGTGACCTTCACAACACATCTGTATTAATATCCAGATCCGTTTTGGGAGGACCTGAGGATACTGGACAGATGTGAAACTTTGATTTTAATATTTAACGGGATGAAATGAAGTATTCAAATCGGGCACAGGGGGAGGTCTGCTGTGACATATGTGAAGCAACTCGTGTGGACCTGAGACAGTAGTGACTGTGGTTCCTGTTGCTGGGCAGCTGTCTCGTAGCTCTTGGGTCCTGGTTTGTTTCTAGATGGGTGCCTGCTGTGTGGAGTTTGCATGTTCCCGTGTTTGTGTAGGTTTCCTACAAATGATACGTTTCCTGCCAAGTTCAACAATTGAAAATAGTTTTCTGTGCTGCTCTGTCTCTGAAGAGTTACTGGTGTCCCGGGACAGGATCCTGCTGGGACCCAGGGGTTTCCATGACGAGCTCGGGACAAGGGGAGCGGTGGCTCTGTGGCTCAGGATCTGCACCTGTGGCTGGAAGGTTGCCGGTTCAAATCCCACGGCCGGCAGAGGAATCCTACTCCGTTGGGCCCCTGAGCAAGGCCCTTAGCCCCAACTGCTCCGGGGGCGCCGTATAAATGGCTGACCCTGTGCTCTGACCCCCAGCTTCTCTCCCTGTCTGTGCGTCTCATGGAGACCATGCTGGGGTCTGCGAAAAGATAATTCCTAATGCAAGAAATTATATATGGCTAATTAAGCACTTACTCATTTTCTGATGAAGGCTTCTGACTGGTATTGTGTCAGATACTGTTAGTCGGAGCTCAGTCAAGTGTTTATCTTATGGAGATACGGTAATGTCTGTACAGAACCCACATGATCTCATGACCCAGTTCTAGTGATCACCGTATTTGCTCTCCAGACACGCCCTGATGTAGCTGTGTTATTCCAAGAGTCCCGACCACGTGTTTTCATCTGAAGGACATTCATTTTACATCGACAAAACAGTAATCACTTCTGGATTCGTCCCGATGAGGAAATGTCACTAGTTACAGTATCTCCATCGTGGTTTTTCCCCACTGTTTGAAGTATTTGTATAACTGTTCGCTTATGTCAACATATACTATATGTTTTTTCACGCTACTTCAAATCGACGTTTCCCCTCTTATATGTAGTTGTACTGTATGTTTGTGCTGCCTACTTGTTACTTTGCACTCGAGTAAATTTAATCTCCCAGGTTCTGCTATTTCAGGTCTTTCCTATCGTTTGTTGTACTGATACAATACTAGCTTTTAATTGTGGGTGAAGGTGGGTGGAATGATTCCAGTTTCTTGCCGTTTTCTGTCTGTGTCGTGTTTGTGTGCTCCACACTTCACGTCTGGTACCTCCTGTGTTTGGGCGGAGCGGTGGCACAGTGGCTGAAAGGTTGCCGGTTCAAATCTCTCGCCCTGTCTGTGTGTGTCTCATGGAGAGCATGTCGGGGTCTGCGAAAAGACAAATTCCTAATGCAAGAAATCGTACACGGCCAATTAAGCGGTCTGGTCTGTGAACGGATCTCCAGCACCCCGCAGCCCAGACAGTCCGCGAGAGGGAGCGCGAGTCCGGGACGTAGCGCCGCGCTCTGGACGCGCCGTCCTGCGCAGCGCGGGAGACAAGCGCGCTCTCGCTCAGCGGTGCAGCCGTGCTCTCGCTGGAAAGCAAACACGGCCGCAGGCAGGCTGCTGAGCTGGCCCGAGTGGGAATAGACCGATCCAGCCAAATAGCTGCTTCGGGCTCTTTCGTAGATGTGCAAGGAGACGGTGGACGCCTCGGACATGCTTTGTGCAACCTGTTTCTGCGCCTGTGACTGGAAGGTTGCCGGTTCAAATCCCGCGGCTGGCAGAGGAATCCTACTCCGTTGGGCCCCTGAGCAAGGCCCTTCACCCCAGCTGCTCCAGGGGCGCCGTACAATGGCAGACCCTGCGCTCTGACCCCCAGCTTCTCTCCCTGTCTGTGTCTGTCTCCATGGAGAAAAGCTGGGGTATGTGAAAAGACGAATTCCTAATGCAAGAAATTGTATAGGGCTAAT